TCTAAAAAGTGGGTTAAGTGACTTCATAAAGCGGTATAGTTTACCATCATGTACGCGATAGTTTAAGACAGAGGTCGGAGAATTCAAACAGCTTTTATATAAATTTAGATACCAATCGTCACTAGTATTTAACTTATGAACAGGAGGTGTATTATTATTAGAACTGACAACTGCTATCGCAACGGAACGAGATAAACTATCAGGAACGACATTATCTGCACCTTTACAATGTTTTATGTCAAAATTAAATGTTGAAAGACGAATACCCCAGCGAGCTAGTCTTCCAGTAGGGTTGTTTAGATTTAGAAACCATTTTAGAGAAGAGTGGTCAGTGTAGACTGTGAATTTGAGACCATTTTCCAAATAGCAACGCCAGTGCTCAATTGCTGTCAGCACGGCCAAAGCTTCGCGTTCAGTTGCACTGTAGTTGCGCTCCTGCTTGCTTAAAGATTTACTCATATAAGCGATTACTTTCTCTATACCATTTATATTTTGAGTGAGTACGGCGCCTATTCCGTAGTCGCTAGCGTCTGTATGAACTTCAAAAGGTTCGTTATAGTTGGGACAAGCGAGTATAGGTGCAGATGCGAGTAAAGTTTTAAGTTTTTTGAACGCTTCATTGGCTTGTGAAGTCCAACAAAAAGGGGAAGCATTTTTACTCTGTGATGTTAGTTTGTTAAGAGGAGCAGCTAAGGTACTAAAATTGGGAATAAACCTGCGGTACCATGAGGCTGTACCAATGAAACGTCGAACTTCTTTGCGATTAGATGGGATAGGATAATCTATTATACATTGCACTTTATCAGGATCCGCGTGTAGTCCATTAGCATTCACTACGTAGCCTAGATATTTTAGTTGTTTCCTAAAGAACTGACTTTTTGTCATGTTTATAGTTAGATTAGCCATTTTAAGTTTATCCAGAACTCGTTTTAAGAGTTGTATATGGTTTTCAAATGTGTCAGAAATAATAATGACGTCATCAACGTATACAAAGACTTTATGTTCAAATTCTGGCCCATAAAATAAAAAATCGACCAATCTCTGTTGAGTAGCTGGAGCGTTGGTCAGGCCAAAGGGCATACACTTAAATTGGTAAGTGCCTCGCGATGGAACATAAAAAGCGGTTTTACACCTATCCTCTTTTTTTATTAGCACCTGCCAGAAGCTTTTAGAGAAATCAATGCTGCTGAGGTATTTAGCGTCACGAAGATTGTCTAAAATTTCAGTTATGTATGGTAAACTATACGCGTCCTTCCTAGTAACAGAGTTTAGTTTTCTGCTATCCAGACAAAATCTGAGTTCTCCATTCTTTTTAGGTGTCAAAAGGACTGGAGAAGACCATGGACTTTCACAGGGTTCGACTACATCATCCCTTAGCATTTCGTCCAGTTGTTCCATTAAAATTCGTTGTTTTTCTGGGGACATCCGGTAATAACGTTGTCGTATGGGGGCAGCATCCCCAGTATCAATAGAGTGAGTTATGATAGATGTACGACCCAAACCACGCTTCTCGTATGAAATATTTCGAAACTGTGATATCAAATTATCCGCGGCAAACTTTTCGCTTTTAGTTAAGTATTCATAAGGACACAATGCGTCAGGTTTAGTTCCTGAACGTGCAACATGTGAAATCTCAGAATCTTTGTAAAATATTATTGAATCTAAGTGTTTAGGAAAGAGACCAAAGGTACGCCAAAAATCTATACCTAGTATTAAGGAATTTTTAACTCCAGGTACAACAAAGAAATCAATAGAAATAGTTTTGTCTTGGAATTGAATGGGTAAATTAATAAATCCAATACATTCAAGTTTGTCGCCACCCGCTGTTATAAATTGAGACTGTTTAGTGTTCCGTAGATCGAACCCTTTATTAAGAAATGTTTCGTGACTACGGTTACCCAAAATTGTAACACAAGATCCAGTATCCAATAGCCCAGTCAATACTTCATCTATGACTGTGATAGTAATGTAGGGTCTAGTTCTGTCACAATCAGTAGATTTATCGTCGATCGACGCGATGGAAGTGAGCGTTGAAAACTTTCTAACAAATTTAAGCCAGTCTTCCCACTCCTTATCACGATCACGACGACCGACATCTTTTAGTTTTTTGATTGTTTATCATCTGGGTTACAATCAGGGCATTCGGGATAGCGAACGTCCAGTTTACCGCATTTAAAACAAATCGGGTATCGTTCCCGATTACAGTTTCCAAGAGAGTGTGAATTTGTTCTACATCTAGGACAAAAGGTAACTTTATGAGCATCAGTAGATATAGCTCCAACTTCATTACGACTATTTTGATTATTAGGTTCTTTGTATGTGATATTTGGTGGATTAGGTTTATAAGAATAATTATTACTTGCGTAAGTATTTTTATGTACGTATTCTTTATTATTTGTATACTTACTATATTTTATTTGATTATTTGTTTTTGAATGAAGGGTGAATTTATGTCTATATGCGAATTCAGGAGCAACAGTAGAACTGCTAGCCTTAGGTGGTTCATGGAAATATAGAGACCTTGATATAACGTTTTCATAGTTCCTACAGACTGACTTAAGTTCATCAAGTGACTTAATATTAGGAGAAGCTGCTAGTGTATTTGCATAACATGGCCGAATATTATGTGTAATAATGTCTAATTTTTCCTCCTCAGATATTGGTTTGGCTAATCTTGAAAACATGCCATGCATAATCGATAAATATATGGTTATGTTTTCTTGGTCACCCTGAGTGCGTGAACGAATTTCATTGGATAAACGATAGTCATAATCACTGCTACTAAAATCTTCTTTAAGCAAAATACATAATTCTTCCCAAGTGTTAACTTTATTTTTATTGTAACGATACCAATGTAACGCGTCATCTGTAAAAATTTCAAAAGCCACAGATAAAAGTTTTTCGTGAGATATACCTCTAGATTGTATGAATTCTTCAACTTTTTGTATAAAGGCATGAACGCAAGTTGAACCCGAATATTTTAATTTGGTGATATCGGTAAACAAATTGCGTTCACAGGTTACTACTGTAGAAATCGCAGAGTCGGAGATGTGCTCAGGTACGGCAATAGGTTTAGGTTGAGAGGTCTGAGGTTTTATAGAAGCTAGTTCTGTAAGTTGAGCATTTAAATTTGTAGTGCAGCTTTTATATACATCATTAATCTCTGATGTAACAACAATTCTATTTAATCTATGGTATACATGGTACAAAAGATTCTCTGTTCTATTAAAAATATTTTTGTCAAATTTAGTTTTTAATATATTTAGGTTGCTTAGTGATTTTATAAGTGATTCCTTAACTTGTTTCAAATCATCGGCTGGGTTTAAATGAGACTCTAAGATATCTTCAGAAGGTAATAACACAGCTAATTTAACTATTTCCTTCCGAAGCTCCTGCACTGATTCACCTACGCCACCCCGAAGTTCAACTTCGTATTGTAGTTCGGCCTTTTGCAAAGAAAGAAACTTAATTGGATACGACATAATTATGCGCACCACAACTTTGGGTAAATGTTAAAAGAAGAAGAAAAATTTTCAACGTCACCAAAAAAATAAGCAGCGAAATAGCACACAGTTTACAAAAAAAGCGTATGATATATGAATGAACAAGGTGAAATAAACAATATAGTTTTTATTACTTACTAACTAAAATTAGAGACAGAACAACACACACTTAGAAGCTAAAAGCCAACACCAGAGATAACTACTAAATGCAAAAGAAATCAACTACGCGATTCGGTTGCTAATGTTACCTGCAGTCAGGCGCCAATGTGGCGGTTAAGCCAATTAAATAGACTATATCAGATATGATAACTTATTTAATTACGTACAAGAGGGTAGGTCCCCAAAATAGTTTTATAAAAATTAAATTTAAAGAAATATTGAAAATTTAGGGTGTGGGTCCGTGACATTAAGCAACCGTCTCGTAGCAGATTCTTGGTCACCACTGTCCTGGCAATCCAGATAATATCGCACGTTGCAGATCTCCGGTCACTGGTCCCAGTAATACAGACACGACTGGTGCAGAAGTAAAGGTTTCCCGAATAACGTGTGTAGCACAATCCAGACCTTTCTTTACCCTGCCAGAGGATAGGTCCCCAATATGGGGAATAAACACATAAACTATATTTGTAGATGACTAAATCAAAAATTCACAATCAAGGAGACAGTAATTAGTGAGAAATAATGTAAGTGACGACAATATGTCCTGTCGCTGCGGTCGTATCTCAATTGTCCACCCGCGTTTTGTTGGAGAACCGGTTTCCCGCTTCGGTCGGCAATGCGCAAGCGCATGAACAATAGACTTACTGAGTATACAACAGTTTTGCCCAGACTGTGCCTATTGAATTTATTATTTTTCTTTATAATATTTTGCTTGTTTTAATTTTAGTTTTAAGTTGTAATTATGTTATTGTATGCAGATTCAATTAATTTTGAGAGTATTGTAAATATATATTTTTATATTTTGATTATTTTTAAATTGTTTTACAATATTATTCTTTTTTTTAATTCTTGGATTAAGATAGACAGATAGTAAAATCGTCACAGTATATTGATATCACTAGATAGTATAAAACAAAGTCGCCTTCTCTGTCCGTATATTCCTATGTATGCTTAAATCTTTAAGCTACGCAACTGATTTTGATGCGGTTTTTTTCATAGATAGGGCGATTGAAAAACAAGGTTTTTATGTATAATACAAGACCACGTGGGCGGAGCCGCTGGCGGAAAGCTAGTTAATTTATAATTTGAATGTTTGTGTTTATCTGGAGTTTCTCAACCGTAAAATGCGCGTATGGTGAAAAACTTACTCACTATCTATTACTTTTCCGTTACACATTAAATACTAATAACGGTTCTTGAAGTAACAAAAGAGTCAAGTCACATATTTTGACTGTGCTAGCGATATGGTCTCATCATGCCAACATTTTTGGACAAGTTTGAATACCGAAATTATTCTAACTCTATAGTCATTCAATTTGACTGCTACTTAAAAACACGATGCCTTTTAAAGACGCCCTTGGGTTAGCACCATTATTACATGTTGTCCATCACATCACCCGTGGTATTTGCCCCGAAATAATTATTAGGTTCAAATAAATGGGTAGTTAACAAACCGTTCATTAGTAAGGAAGCAGTCCGACCAGAGTTATTAATTGTAATGAGTTTTCTAAGTAAAAAACTAATTATCATTGTTGGACATGGTTGGTGTTGTGGATAATTACTGACACATCTTAGGAGATCGATGATGTAGGATCTAAACTGAAGGGATTAGTACATATGGTGTGCAAACTAGGAGGTTAAACAATTTTCATAGAGTTCTTCTGCAGTTGCATAAGAAACATACTTCTCACGGTGTATTCAATAATTCGTAACAATAAACAAGTAGCTCGGTGGCGTAGAGGATAAGCTCCGCGGCCCGCGATCGTTGTCGTTAAGCAACTTTCGCAAAGGTCGGTCACGGGATGTGTAACCAAAAAAAAATTATTATATCGAGCTACTCCGTGCTTATGGGGACGTAAAAGGGCTGATGATGAAGATACTTATTCGTTATTAATTTCTTGTCGTTGACAAGATGTTCACTTAAAAAACTGTTGTATAAACGATTATTAATATATTTTGTTGTTCACAGCCAACAACAAAGATACTGGTGACCATCAGATCGACCAGAAATCAAATCAGTGGTTCGGCGCTACACTCGCGAGTACCGGTCGAAATGGACCGATCGTGGTGAGTACTGATCATTATACACAATTATATTTACTGTAGTTTCTAGTTTTAACATGTATGTTGTTAAAGTTCATCTGAAACAGTGTTGATATAAAATGTAACAGATGTTCTGATTAGGACGTCGGTTAGGATTAGGATAATAAACAAAAGTGCGGATAAAAGAATTACTAAGCAATACTTATGTCTGTGTTGTATAACAAAGACTTTATTGTATAACTACAACCATAACATGTAGAAGTGGAGGAAGATCAAGTTAAGACACACCTTCTTCTTCTTCTATCTAGACCAGGTCCCATTTATTTGAGGGTGGCCTTCTTTTCACTACTGACGGTCCAGAGCCGTGTCCACATATGTCAATTTGTTTCATCTTCTAGGTCACTTTGCACCGTTATCAGCTAAGTGGCAGGTGGTCTTCCGCGTCCCCGCTTCTTCGTTGGCATAGTCCATGTAAGCTTCACGATGTGCTCATCCGACTATTTCTGGACATGTCCGTACCATCGGAGATGGTTTCCCTTTAAGTTTTTCGGCGATCGGGACGACTTTATAACTGCCTCTTATATATTCATTGCAAATTTTATCTAGCAAGGTAACCCGCTGACCAGCGTTACATGTGCATTTCCATTGTATGAAACTTATCATTTGTTATTTTAATTTAAGACACACTTTATTATGCAATATTACTTTACAGACACCAAAATTTAATCATTCATAATAAATAAGGTACAAATAAGTAACATTCTAATAAAATTAGCAATTTAAAAGAAGTCTATTCTTACTATTAGAATTTACTCAGTAACTTATAAGAAGATAGGCGGCAAAATGAAATCGTCAAGGCACCAAGACAGGGTTATAGTTGCAAGGCGATGCCTGGGCGAGGCAGGAAGCCACGCCTCGGCAAACTTTATAGGTCACTGTTATGGTACACCTCCACATTAAAGACAAGTCTATCCCGTGATTACTTTGATTAAAATTGGATGTACTAATATAGTGAAGTGCAGCACATAAATATGTAAGTAATAAAAGCAAAACCAAACATTGGTTATGCCTAGCTTAGATCTATATCATAAATACAGATAGAAATCTGAAATGTAATTAAAAGCACTTACCAAACTTAAAATTACTGTAGAGACTTGAAATTGTGCCAACTGACACCTTCATCTTCTATGTTCGATTGTTTATGAATAGTTTAAAGTAATTCTCTTTGAATAATTAATACAATACTTCGAGACAATGCTATATGAAAATAACAGATGAAGATCTAAATATTTTCTTTTTTTAAATACCATTATCTAGACTCATTCGACCTCATTTGAAGTTAATATTTAATAATGAAGAGAGAAAAAATAGACATACTTGTAGCTTTGCTGATTTTGTTTGTTTACACAAAAACATGCTGCTTGTTAAAGAGTCAAGTGTGACATAGTGAAATTCTTGGAACTTTGTTTCCGATGAGGTCAATATCTGCTGATAAAGTACGGGAGACCCCTGACAAGAGATTGACCAATTTGAGATGGACATTGGTTTGATTTTATAACAGAAAATTCATAAAATATAATATCATTAAGTTTTCATTTATTAAGCCATCATAATCATAACATCGTCAAGAAGTTAATCGTGTGATTTGCCAACTTTTGCAAATTTTTTGATATAGATACCTGTTTGCCTGTCCCTGTCACTACACAATAGGGTCCATCAATCGGCTAGGTGTTGACATTTGCAGAATGGGGTCGCCCAAGGCTGATGGGGTTGGGGCGGTATTGGGTCACCGGGTCGACTTTACGATTTGCGCAAAGATACTATGTATCTTTATTGCTTTGTTTAGGTCATCTGTGGATAGTGGGTCAATTGGTATGGTATGGTAGATTATATGGAATCGTTTAAATTTATTGCTAGTTGACTATATCATGTAACTATAACCTAAAAATCTCTCAGATTTTTTTAATTAATTTTTTCATATTTCCGGGGAACTGTGTATAGTAGAATGTATCTAGGTTTTTTGAAAATTGGTCTAGTAGTTTTGGAGCTAATTCAATGAAACCAAACATATGATTGAGACTTTCTTCTTTATAATATTAGTATAATTTGATATAATTTACAAAACAGAAACAATAAACTTCATTGATTAGGAATACAAAGGTGTGCGACATCCGAAAGGTCGAGCCGATCCCGCGCATCGCCTTCCATGAAAGGGACATCGCTGAGTTTTAGTGGGTAAACTTCTGTTTCTTGTCTAGCCCCTTCGGGGTTATTGGAAACTGACCCAAAAACAGAACCAATCTTAAAGAATAATATACCATTAAAATTTAAAGCCCTTCCTATTAAGCAAGTCGATGGCTGTTGAACCATACCTTCTGTGCACTGGCAGATTTTTTAATGAAATATTTTAATAGTTTATAATGAATGTACAAATTGACAAAATTCACAAAATATTTCAAAATATAACTGATTTATATACAATTAATATCGTAATGACTTATTTAAAATGGACATTGTTTTAAAATGTAGTAGAACTAACATTTGCATGCTGTTGATATAATATGGCTAATTAGATCTAAATACATTATTGAAGACATTATTAAAGAATTGGAGATTTAATAAAGAATTATTATTATTAGTATTATAAATAAAAAACTTATTGACAAAATTCTGGCTTTGGGTTAACTGTTTACGTGATATGTTAGCTGGTGTCGATGACATAGTAAATCTATCACGTGACCCTAGCAACGAACTCAACTCGTACTTTATTTGGTCTTATCATTCACAATGTATCAAACAATCATTGGAATGTTTGACCGCCACAATAAAACAATTAGTTGTCCGATAAACCGCAAATGTCACGTCCAAGGAGGCCTTATAAAACAACTGTCTACGTAGAGTGCGATGCAAATGTCGTTGTTAAATTGAAAGAGGAACATACAACATATATAGTGTCGTGCCTCTTCAACTACTGCATTTGCATCGTCTTTAGAGTTTACGATAAGGGTCGTGTATGGTAATAACTTTAAATTTTAATGAAATGTTCTTATTTAGTGCTTCGTAAAGGTCAAAACGCTTGAGCATTATTATTTGATAAGGTTTTATTTATATGTGTACAGATTATAGAAATAGAAACAGAGAATTATTACGTCCTATTCATAATTATAATGTTTACTGATGATACCAAATTTTACGGTGATAAAATATTTGGCGGCAGTTACTATATACTTTTTTATTTAATGCGAAGTTATGGATATACAACTTGTCCCAAAATTCAACGATAAGCGGGCGCCAAGAGGTACCCTTGCTCATGTGTACTTATGGAAAAATAAGAAAAAAATTATATCTTATCTTTTTTATTATAAAATTAAATTCGAAAATCTTCGAAAATTTACACCTTTTATGATATTTTCAACTACCACGACCACAACTTCTCAATTATGTTCAATCTTTTTTTGGTATCGGATACCTAAGTAGCACTACTATTCGCTACAACTCTTTCGAAAATTTTCGAATTTTATTTTATAATAAAAAAGATTAATAAGATATAATTTTTTTCTTATTTTTCCATAAGTACACATGAGCAGGTCTACCTCTTGGCGCCCGCTTATCGTTGAATTTTGGGACACGTTGTATATAAAGATAGAATCGAATGTGATGAAGGGGCGATGTGAATTCGTGGGTGTTAACGTCTGAACGGCTTAACAAGCATTCCGAAGAGCTAGAGAAAATAAATTTTTGGCCACCCATCCTCTGAGTGGCCTCGCGAAAGTTGCTTAACTTCCGCATCGTAGACCGAACGCGATAGTTATATTATTTAAACAATAATGATAGTATGATCGTATTCGGCCGCGGTAAATTATATCCCTTGAGAGTTTATTTTTTCGTAACAACAAGTCGAGCACCAAAATTGGCTAATAGATGTAATATCGTGACAGACAGGCCATCACTCATACCACGAATAATGCAATAGAATCGTAATACTAAAGGGTTCTGTGTTTTATTTGATAGATATATTTACCTCCGTAGCCGAGTGGTTCGCATGCCGGTTTCAAAGTGTTGCCGTCTCTGAGGTCCTTGGTTCGATTCCCAGTCGGATCAATGAAAATGAATTTTTCTATATTGTCCGGGGTCTGGGTGTTGAGTTATCTTCGTTGTCTCAGATACTCCATAATACGGGGGCTTTAGCTACTCATCTTGGAATCTGAGCAATGTATGTCATGTTATTTAATACTTATTTATTTTTTTAATATTCTATCGGTCAGTTGCACAAACATACATTAAGATTTAAAGTCGCCATTAAGCTCTAATGAATGTCAGATATGTATGGGTAATGTCGCTTTCAACTAATGATAATTTTAATGTACGTTTGTGCAACTGACTGTATGTGCTATGCTTTATTAAAAGAAATATAGAATAACAGATAACAGTAATTCATAAACTTACTGTAATATAATATGTAAATAAGTTATTTTAAACTTAATCATTTTCAACGGGATTGTCATAGAATTTAATTTCGGGTGATCCGAGTTAAGTAACTATTTTTAAATGTGTTGAATAAAATAAAAATTATGTGATATTTTGTATTTTTAAAGAACGTTGTGATTATAACACACTCGATAAATATACATTAGGACCATAGCATTTCAGTGACAGCTCCCACTTGACGGTGTCTTTACAATCGGCAGCCAAACGCGTTCTTCGAAGCGCGTCATTGGCGAAGATGATGTTGTTTTTGCTCGCTCGCTCCATAAGGAGTAGGGAATTTTTATTTCGGAATGCCGAATTGGTGCAAAAAGCGGTCGGTCCCAGGAGACGAGTGCAATTTGTTTAGGCATTTTGTACCATGCACGACGCGACTCGGACGCCGCCGTCGGTAATTGTCTATAGGATGTTCATTAATTGACTAAACTAAACATATTTAAAAATAAATAATTGTTTCTCAATTTTTCTTAAATAGTAATCTTACTAATTGATTTAATCAAGACCTTAACGAGTCTGAAATTTATCAAATATAATTTTATAATTGTCTAAGTATTAACCCTTTTGAGAAGGCTTTAAATGTCAATTACATATTTTTCTTTCTGTTTCGCTCATATCACGGCATTCTACAAAAGTAAATAACTTTATGACTATTATACAAACACGAGTACACAGAGGAACATGGTTCAGTACGTACTCGTTTCTACTGGTTCCGTGAGAACCAAGATTTGGTTATGATTTAGGATAAAAAGGGTTCATACATAACGTAAAACAAACAACACAAATTATTACGCATTACTTGAAAATAATAGTTGGTTCACTGAACCTAACCGCTACCACAGCCCACCCCAATAAACATTGTTTTAATTATGAAAGTATTTTGTAGAAAGATAGTGGAATAATAAACATATCAGTAACTTATTTGTACTCGTAAGATATATCAAGAATTTTAAGAACTGATGTAAATAACGCCATCTACGAAGACGGCGACTACGTTAATGTCACTGCTTTCAGTAATTTTATGGTTTTGTGAAATTTACGCACATTTTGCCGTAAAACC